ATTAAAACAGCACATTTCTACAACAATTTTCACAACCCAGCCCCCTCACACTGTGGCAGACTCTGGGAGTGTGACTGGCCCTTGGCTTGGTCTGTCTCCCACAAGCCTGAGCCAGGGCTAGCAGCTGGAGGGATGCCCACCTTTCCAGCAGCACTGCTGACTCCTTGAAGCCTGTCTTTTGCTGCAGAAGCTGCATTTTAAAAGTGAAGATTCAGGAGTATTAAAAATACTTCAGCCTCTTCATCATCTTTACTTTCTCATGCATTTCTACCTTGTTCAGTTAAGACTCAGCCCTTTGGTTACTTCCAGTACAGCTGGAGCACAGATGCAGGGACCCTTTTCTGGTTCCCATCACCTCCCATTCCTGCCAAGCTGCAGGAACCCTCTTCAGACCTGCAGCCTCTTCACGATTTTAGCTCAGACCTTTAATTTAAAACAGCTCTACTCACCTCTCCAGGACGCTCTCAAGGCTACTCAGTAGCTCCACCACGTGCACTCCTTGGCAGGAAAGCACAACCACGCTGAGTGCTCTGAGCTGGGGTCACACCCAGGGTGGTGGGAAATCAGGCAAAGCTCCTCGTGTGTCTCACTCTGGAGCAGGTGGAGCCAATGGCTGAGGTGAGGGATTGCCCAGGACAAGCTGCAGCAGGCACTGGCTAACAGCTCCCAGTGTCAGGTGAAATCCCAGCCAGCCTGCTGAAACAATTAAAAATGCACTGGGCAGCCTCCACAGAAACCCTTTAGAACAACTCCTCCTCTCCCCATTTTTGTGGTGAAGCCACACTCTCTCCAGAGTTCACTTCAACTCAGCTTTCAGCATTAGCCAGGGGAGAAAATATGCTGGCTGCAAAATGGTATCATGGCTTTGACTAAGTGGCTAACTGGGGGAAAAACGGATTCATTGTTCAGGAGGCTGCTTTCCATATCCTCATAATTGCTTCCAGCAAATGTTGACCATTCTCCCTCCTCACCATAGTGGAAGCATCTTCTGGTTGAGTGGATTTGCCTGTGTTTTGTACAGAGCAGCTGAATGCAGATTTACATAAAAATAGTATTGCTGAGCATTTAGTTCTGACCATTTTGTGCTTGGTACAGCCATCTGCAATCAAAATGTTTGGAGAATATTACAGATGTTCTTGCATGTTAGTCTCAAAAACTCCCCAAATACAAAACTCCTACATCCGCTCTCTAGAGTTGCCAAACTTTTTCTGCACTTCTGTTATTAAGCAACTCTGTTATTAAGCAATCGTGTTATTAAGTTTAGTGGATGTGAGACATCTTTGTCATGTTGAGCACTGCATGCCAGGGGCTGGGTGGTCACTGGTGGGGAGTGGTGTGCTCCCCTGACCATGGGACTGCCTGGGCAGCCTCTCTCCATCCTCCTGCCCACAGCTGGGCACCACAGCTGGGAAATCAGGGCTGGAGAGCTGCACTTCCAGAAGGATGGAAGATTGCTGTAGGATCAATCCCACCACAAGGAGCTTTTTAAACAGCTTTTATCATACACAGCTCTCTAGATGACAAAAAGAAGGTGAGAGCAGATCTGAAGCAGAACTGGCCCTTTCTTTAGTAAAAACTAAGATGTCAGATTTTCTATAATGGAACCTAATCACTAGCCAACAAAGCAGTATGCTTGGAGGGTGGTTTTTCATTTTTAGCCTTGGTGAAATGTTCCTGAAAGCTAATAGCATCTATAATGTCGTTGCTGATTTGTTTTGCTGTATGAAAGAAAGCAGAAAATAGAATTGCTGTATGTAGGAGGTGAAGATGTATTTTGTGTAGTGAGCAATGTGCTGCAGTAAGAAAAGGCTGCCACGGTAAACATGCTGTCCCCACCAAAGCCTGAATGTGATCATGTGGCTAAGCACTTGTGATCTTTGAAAGGCAAGGCATCACCTGGGTGTCTGAGCACAGTGGGATTTTGGAGGCAGGAATCCAGACAATCAATCCAAACAGCTTCTCTCCCTCTCCAGCAGATGCTGCTGCAAAGCGGTGCACACCCAGAACCAAAGCACAGCCCTTTGTGAGCAGCCCCCACGCTGCTGTCTGGATGCACGAGGGGGCTGATGGCTGCTGCCTGCCTTCTCCCCATCCCACACACATGGTCTGAGTGCAGAGCAGGAGCTGGGCCAGGGCAGGCCCTGCTGGGGCTCTGCTGGCAGCCCTGGGGCAGGTGGATGCTGCCCTTCACCTCCTCCAGAGCCTGGCAGCAGCTCCTGACGTGCTGCAGGGACTGTGGCAGCAGCTGCAGCTTCTGTATCCAACAGTGCACAGCAATCTGTGCCCACCAGGCTCTGCCTGTGCCCCCTGGAGCCTCCTCTGCCTGGTACAGCTGAGTGGGATGCAGCTCCTGGTGAAACCATTGCCAGCTCCGGCAGAGTGTGCAGTGCAGGGAGCAGCACAGGCCATGGAGGGAGCCAGGGGAAAGGAGCCTGCCCAAAGGGTTTGGGGCTGCCTGGATCCTGAGGAATGGCGTGGCTGGGGCTGCAGATGCCATGGAAGGATAGGATGGAGAGGCAGGAGCACAAAGTGGGGAGGGAGCCACAGCAGCAACGCAATAATACATTTATTTATTTTACTTTTAGAAAGATGAGGAGGAGCTCAGTCTCATGCTGTTAAATAGTAGATCCCACATTTGGGGCTCACAGTGGAAAAGCATTCCAGCCTTAACACTGAGTTAAACTTGGCCTGATGGATTCCAGCTGTGCTGTGCTTTCCACAGCCTGCACCTTTCACTGGGACCTGTGGTACCATTGTCTGAGCTACCAAACCCAAGGGTGTCCTGGGAAAGAGACTCGTGTTTAAAGGTCACACTGCCCAGTTTTGTGGATAAGAGACAGAAATTTGGACACACAAACATATATCACACTTTATTTTCTGTGCCAGAAAACTCTCCCTTCTGAAAAGTTCATTAGAAGCTTTTATGTGCTAATTTAAAGTCCAGCTTTGTCTCGGAGATCACACAGGAGGGAGGGAAGCTGCATGTGTCTGTATTTAAGGTGCTGCTGGCTCTGCTGGTGCCAGACCCACCCAGCATGTGGGATGGGATGGGATGGGATGTTTCACTCACCCCAACTGCTGGCTTTGCTTGGAGCACAGAATTGCAGCAGGGCCAGGCACAGAGGATTCAGCTGGGCTCGCCCCTGGGCAAAGGGACACAAGGCTGAAGTGTCGTGAACTTCAGTAAAATTAATATCCTAAAAATCTACTGCAATTCTTTTCAGTTTTTGATCAAACCAGGTGCTGATCAACTACATCCACTTGATTAATAGCAAGCACTCACTAGAGAAACAGACACTAACAATCTCCCATTTCAGTGTGTCAAATGCACATAATTACTCATCACGGATACTATTTATATGCCCACGTACTGCTAAGTGAAAGAATGCTTTCATCCTGCTTTTATCATTTCTAGATTAAATCACAGTTTTTCCTATTTCCTCCAGACAGCAGCTCAGCCCCACAATTTTCTCTCCAAATGACAGGCAATTCTTTTAAGCACATTGAATTATTTTTTCCAGGTGGTGGTTCAGTTGAAATTAAATGTTACTCTTTAACAGCTGTGGCACACAAAGATGACAACTTTAATATTCCAGCCAACTTGAAAATCAGAATTAAAAAGAGGACTTTAAATTCCAAGTGAGCACTGGCAGCCAGCACCCCTTTTTCCTGGCACGAGGGTGTGAGGAGCAGAGGGGAAGTGACAGCACTCCTGTGCTGAAGGTTGGAAAGGGCCTTGGAGCTCACCCCACCATCTTAAAGACTCACTCAGGCCCCAAAATCGAATAAGTACTGGCAGATTTGATTTTTATTGTCCTTTTTAATCTCTTAGTGGTTTGGTTTACCAGCAGCTGGTGAAGGACATGGTTACCTCCATGCCCTGGGAGCAGCCTGGTGTCCTGGTGAGCAGAGCGAGGTCCCAGCTGGCAGGGACACAGGGACACCTCCTCTGCAGGAGCACAGACTGAGGGCAGATGAGAGGGAAAGGCAGGGAAGGTGTCTGGGAGCAAAGAGGCCACTCTGCCATCACTCAGGGCTCACTGGCTGTCCTCCCCAGACACACACCCTCTTCACCACCTGCATGCAGTGATAAAGTGCCCTTTGATCCAGCAGAGGCTCTGCTGCCCCAGCATTAACCTGGACAAGTATTTCATAGCCATATTTCCTTTGCTTTGTCCACAGAGGATCAGTTAGAAACCAACATTGATGTGAAGAACAGAGGAAAGTCAAATTAATCTCGACCAAGAATTACAGTTCATGATAAAAAGCCTAGCAGTAGCCATGTGTTCAGGTGCTCTGCTGAGAGAAATGCACAGATATGAGTAAAAGACAAAAAACACAATATTTGTTTGATAAATGTAAATAGTTCAGATATTTTTGTCTGTCAGGAACTGCATACACTGAGGCACCAATATTTTATAAAAGTCATATTCTATAATTTTGCAAATTGATAACAAAAGGGCAAGGCATTGATACTACAAATTAAGGCAAAATAAATGCATTCTTGTGAATCTGCTTAGCCTTACCATGGAACAACAGTGCCTCCCAATGACCAGAGTGTAACTCTGAAGGTTCATATATTGCTTGTCACTATATCTTTTTGCTTCTCTCTGATACTTCATGTATTATTTCAACCACCACATCTCAGCAGATTTCTCTGCCAAGAAAGCTTTCATACTAAACTACAAAATTAAATTACTATCACAGAATCAGCATATATATCCCCTGCCAGAATATTCTGTTCTTTATTTGCAAGCAAAACAAAGTGGCTGCAAGACCTGAAACATGGGTGTAAAGATATTTACACCCATGTTTCATGGGTGGAACCCCAAGGATACCTGGCAATAGCGTGCTGGGAGCGTTCCTGCAGTTGTGACTGTTCTGGTCAGTGACACGTGCAAGGTCTCACTTCAGCATGCAGGTACTTCTTTTCTTAACTGATTGCAAAAATAATTCACCAAATAAAATTAACATTTCCCCTTTTTTTCTTTCCCAACCAGGTCCCGATTATTTCAGCTCCAAGAACCTTGCACTGCAAGCCCAGAAAAAGATCCTGAGTAAAATGGCAACCAAAACCATGGCTAACATGCTAATCGACGACACAAGCAGCGAAATCTTCGATGAGCTGTACAAAGTCACAAAGGAGCACACCAGGAACAAAAAGGAAGCCCATAAAATCATGAAAGACCTGATCAAAGTGGCCATAAAAATCGGGATCCTCTACCGCAACAACCAGTTCAACCAGGAAGAGCTGGAGATCGTGGACAAGTTCAGGAAGAAGCTGAACCAAACTGCCATGACCATCGTCAGCTTCTACGAGGTGGAGTACACCTTTGACAGGAACGTGCTGGCAGAACTGCTGCACGAGTGCAAGGAGCTCGTGCACGAACTCGTGGGGCGGCACCTGACGGCGCGCTCCCACGGGCGCATCAACCACGTCTTCAACCACTTTGCGGACGTGGAGTTCCTGTCTGCCCTCTACAGCCTGGATGGGGACTGCCGGCCCTACCTCAAAAAGATCTGCAACGGCATCAACAAACTGCTCGACGAGAAGGTTCTTTGAAACCACGCTCCAAGGCAAGAAACCGACCAAAAACTTCTCTCTAGAACTGGCCACCCTTCCTAAGCCATGGTAGGCAAGCAAGCTTCCTTCCCATCAGTCTTACTACAATCCCCTGCAGGGCCCAGAAGGTGCTCACCAGGCTCATGGTGAAGTGGAAAACTTAAATGAGAAAGCTGTCGATTTTAATGCTTTGTTCAGATAATTCAGTCTCTTTCAAGGAGCAGAGTGAACAAGGCTGCTGGTATATATTGTTCAGACACAGATTGCTATTCACCATGATCTTGCTAGCTTTGTGTTCAAGGCTGAACGTGTGAACAGAAAGTAAACTCAGATGCATGGCTATGTAAAAATAGACAGATGAAGGCAAGAGCAATACATGGAATTTACCCCCAAGGCCCTTGGTGCATATATTTTTATTATTTCCATGCTAACTGAAAAGGCTTTGACAGAAAGTAGGGCCGTAATGGATTAAGTTCACTCCTTTCAAAAGGATCAGGAATCAATATGAGAAAACATCTCTGATTTTACATGGTCTATAAATCTAATAAGAGAGTAACAAATCATACAAGCAGGAGAAAATCTAAAGAACTGCTCGGTGAAGCAACAGTTTCATCAATTCAGTTTTACACCTGCTAACAACAGAGAGGAGGTTTCATTTTAATTTGAAAAGCAGCTCAGTGGTTCAAACTCAAAGGCAGATAAAATAGTATAGCATTCCCCTGCTCTCAGGGCTTGTCTGTTGGGTAACAGCAGGTGAGCTCAGACTAAAGGTTGTGCTGCTCTTACTGTTCTGCCTGGCAGAACAAAATACTCTTTGTGAAGATTTTGAAATTGCCCTTATGAGGAGCAGCACACCTGAGACACCAACATTTATATCCCTGAGCCTCAAAATATTCAGCCTAGATAATACTGTTGGTTTAATGTACCCATGACATTTGTGCCTACAGTAAACCAGAGGTGGGATACAAAGGAACCCCATCCACTATTTGTGCAGTGCCTCCAAGTGTAGCATATCCACAGTTGTCAAAACAGAACAGCCTTAGTGACTCTGGTGAGTTCCTGGAGTGAGTTTTTGTTCAGAATGGTTTCAGTGAATTTTCTAGGGTTTTTTTGAAGCAAGATATAATGATGTCTTCAAATTGAAAACATTTTGCCAAGAAAGAGTGGGTTTTGTGCAGGCATGGTTGGACACAGGGAGTGTGGGAGCAGAGCGGATGCTCTGGCTGCCACTTGCAGAACCTGGGTAGGTGGAGACTGATCCAGAGTGAAAAACACATGTTCAGAAATATCCCCTCTCCATCTTATCCTCCAGACTCATCTCTGTCTCCTGGCACTGCAGAGTCAGGAGCCCTCTCCTTTCAGCTGACACAGAGAGCAGACAGTGCCATCATCTGGGGGTAATACCTTCCCTATCGTGTATACTATGATAGAGAGATGCATGTATCTGAAAGTTGACAAAGACAAGAAAATGTATTTGAAAGCCATTCCTCTCTAAGGGAAACTTACAGGTTGATCACTCATTACTTTAGGATAAGAGAAAAAAAACCATGTTTCTCATTAAAATAACTCTTGCATACTATGGTATTAGAGAAAACTGTTCAAAATTCTTATCCTTCTGTCTTTCCTCACCCCAGAATAACCATATTTTATCTCTTGCAACAAGTTTTTACTGTTATACCTTTATACAGTTGAGAATACACACACCCAGGTCATATACTCACTTGGGTTGTCCTAGATGGATTTTTATCTGTTCCCAGGAGAACTCATCTGAAGCACAGTAAAAATGAAAAACATTGGCAGAACAGTTTTTAATGATGTAAATTCCCCCCCATATTTCCTTTACCCATTAAAAGTAGATTTAGTTGCAATGAAGATGGACAACTCCTTTGCAACACAGAAATGAAACAGCAACATTTGGGGTTGCAAGTTCAGCCATTGCAGAGCCATATTTACATGCATCATTACCTGCATTTCTTCCAGGCATGTACTTGTCAACTGATGCTTTTGAACTGTATTTCTTGTATCCAATGCTCCTGTCCCAGTGCACATGTCAGATTTTGTGTGTTTCATTTGTGGCAAACAAATTTAAGTTCTTCTTTTAAGGCCAGAAAAAGATTATTCAACATTCAAGACGTCTAAAGGAAAGGGATATCCTGTATTTGTGACCTTTTGTGTGTTTCAAGTATCAATATTCAGACTCTGGTATTTTAAACACACCAGCTGAACATCTGTTGTTTTATTTAAAAATAATCTGAGTAGCCTTAAGGAAAGATATGTTTTCAAGTATTTCTCATACTTGCATATCCTGTATATTCATTGTTTACTTTTGTACTTGTAGCTTGGTATGTAAAAACATTGCTAAAATATGGGCAATGTTCAGGTCACCTTAAATATATTATGTATTATCACATTTGTGGATTAAAAATGTGTGATTACTGCCCTTTTTGTTTCCTTTTGATTTATTTATCCTACCACCTCTATTGTATCACAAGCACAAAGAGCAGCAAAAGAGCAGGTGCCACAAGCCAAAATCTCACTCCTCCAAGGACCTTCTTGTAAGTTTTCCATTAAATATTCTGTTTAGCTTGATGTGATTTAAGGCAGGTAGAAATCATATTCCTGACAGATTTCACAGCCCTGTCCTAAACATGGAGGTGCTGGAACCTACCAGAACATTTCAACAGGAAACATTTATTCTCCTGTCCTTATTCCCAGCAAAGGCAAACTGTTTTGGCTGAAAGAGCTCAGGATTTGCAAACAGCTCACATGGCAATTATACTGAAAGCAGTGAAATGCTGGCACAAAGAGAAAACTGACAACTACCTTAAAATCAAAGTTTAAAGCAATCTCCTTAAGTGGTGCTTTGAGCCTTCCTGCTGGTAAAACACTTCTGTCAGGGTAATTTTATGAATCATATCATGGCAGGACACAATATCCTTTGCTTCATCACTGTCAACTTTATTATATAAAGACAAGAATGCTAATGTTTAACAAACTCTCATGGGAGTGACCACTTCTGACATGTTAATGAAATGGTGCCTGTGCCACAGAGCTGCACATCAGACTGAACATGTGATCTGATTTGTGCTAGGGAAATATTCTCAGAGACAGGCCCTGAAGAGAACCAAGCAGACAAGCAAAATTAAGTTTCACCACAGCAACAGAAATGCAAAAACCAACTTTTAACTGGATAACTTAAGCAGGTCTATTTTTGTTTTTACATAAATCAATGCCAGAAAAAGACCACACACAGTCTTACCCATACAGAAAAAGATAATACAGCTTTTTATGCTGAAAAACTACTGGTGGGACTCTATAGCAGAGAAACACTTTTCCAATATTTAGAAATCATCAATGTCATTTATGAGCTACTTGCAAGTACAGGAAAACCTCAAGGTCCTGCCATCCATTACACAAATTTACTCTTTTGGGTCCTTACAGAATGAGGAGGATTGGGAATATGTAGCAGAAAGTAATAAAATCCAACAGATTTAGTCTGTATCTAAGAAAACATCCTGCCTCAAACTGCCATGTTGCACTTCCTCCAGTTTCCTACCTGTTTCTTTCAGTAAAAATACCTGAAAATAGTTGGGGCAAGGTGGTAGAAGCTGACAAACAGTTGAAATAAGGATCCAATACAATCCCTTTGCTGCTGACTCCCACTCCCATGTCCAGAACTCACAGGGCACACAGCAGTGGAACAGTGAGGCCTCCTGGTACTTAGAGGTTTGGTCCAGTCCCTGCCAGTCCAGCATGGCCAGTACAGACTGACTGTCCTCTGGGTGCCTCTTGAGCCAACTCCTTCATGCAAACTGGTTATGTGCCCTCTTCCTCCTAACCTGCTTCTCTGCAACTTCTCTCCCTTCCTGGAAAACAGGCTCATCTGTGATGTTTCACTGTTCACATGCAAAGAGAAACAATTAAAATAGAAACTAGTTCTTAATATATGGAAACACTGCTACATGAGATGGAAAAGAACATTTAACAAGTATCAAACTTTTTTTTTAAATAAAACTGAATTTTATTAAACTGCAAGAAATGCATATATGATGACAGATTCAGATCAGTGTTTGTTGGGCAATCCAAAAATAATGACTGACACAGGTACAATTCCCTGCACACTCCTTTAAGTGATGATACCATAAAGCAATTGGAATCAGAATACTGACACCTCAACATACACTATTCATACAGTGAGAAAGGTTACAGAGAGCATTAATTAACAACAGAAGGCATTGTTGTCTTTGCAGTTCTTTAAACACCAGGACATTGAACATCTCCTTGCTGAAATTGTTTAAATGCATAGGCCACAAACAGATATTTGTATCAGAGTTCCTATAATTACAGAAGTCCAATTGCATAACACAAGTCTGATTTACCAGCAGGGCAATCATCTGCTGGAAATTATTCCACTATAAATCAGTTTTCATTTATATAAACTGCCTTGAAGTGCCAAGTAAACATTTAAGTATGCAGAACATTAAATATATTTACAGGTTCAGTGCACTTTAAATTCCTCAGTAAGAGGGTACTGAAACAACAATAAAAAAGGAATTTGCTTGGATGATTATACTTGTGATAACACAAGTAGCTCGACTTAAAAGAAAAAATTGCTATCAGCACATTAACATTCTTACAACAATTTCATGAACGTTTACCAAAACATCAAAAGTAAAAGAATACTTTGTTTTCCTTTACAACCAGTGCTTATCAGGTGAGAATCAGTAATGCTGACATGTGAGAGGTTCCTTGTTACTATTAAACACACAAAGTACAGAACTCCACCACAGAATCCCTTTGTACCATGTCTGAACTGTGTGTACAACCTTGGATGCTTAAACAGAAAACATGACCAGCTATAAATAATACTAACCAGCACTATGTTTCATTTAGCATCTAAATAAATTCAGATTGCTGGATTTTCAAGATTGTGAGGTTACTCCAGGAAGAGGTGACAATCTGCTCAGACACATTTTCCACATTTGCTGCTGTGATTTAATCCCCCACGCCCTGCTGCAGTTCCCAGGCATGCACACACAACACAGCCACATCCCTGCAACTCAGACCTTTGATGAGTCATACCCAGGCTATAAATAATTACAAGTAAAAATAAATGGAAGCTTTCCCCTTGTGAATTTTCATGCACAGGGATTTTGGCCAGATCAAATTTATAGAGTGGACTGGAAAGCAATGAACATGTTCACTAAACAAAAATCAAGGAGTCAGCATGTGCACAGCCAAGTGCCCCCAGCTCAGTCATCTCAGAGCTGATCCACGTGGAACTTCAGCTCAGACATGCACAGACACTCAGTGGCTGTCACAAAGCCCTGTGGAAAGGGAATGAGACTGAAATCTGGGGCAGGAAGAACTGCAGACAGGAACTAACCTGAAGGGCTTTAGCTAATCCCCCAGGAGGTGCTTCCAAACAATTTCACATGCCTGACTCCTATCAAAAACCTATTTAGATGTTATCCCTTCCATGGTAAACATCAAAGATCATGGGAAGTGTTTTCCTCCCTAGAATCCTTTAACTGTTTTAAAACCATGCATTTGCTGCTACATAAGTTATTTTATATAACCACCAATATGGGTCTTGTTGCCAGCAGTGCTTAAAAATAGCTTTAGAAAAATTATCAAAATAAAATTAAATAACTGATCAAGTCTGACCTCATAATGGAAATATGTTTTCTTCAAAATCATATTTAAGTAGTTGCCATGAAGAATAAGTGTTGGCATCTATAAAAGCTGTGTAATAAAAATAAATACTTTCAGTCATTTACAACAAAATTAATATACATTTCACTTACACAGGTAACAATACTTTAATGTACTGTACAGTCCTGAGCATGATTTTGCAGGGGTAATTTAGGTCACCATTTTTCCCCCACAAGTCCACTTGGACATTGCCAGCTGGAAGAAAACTTTTAATACTTGAAGAAGCAGTATCTTAGTTTAGCTTTGGTAATTATCTGTGCAACTGTATAAATCTTTGACTTGCTTTCACACACCAAATAGATTAAGGCAGGCACTATTGTTCTCAGGATTCCTCCATCACCTTCTGACACTGATAGAGCAATCCATCAGGAAGAGCAGCACAAGGGGACCTGAACCACAGGGCAAGCATCCCTGAGTGGGTACGGCAGTGCAGCAGGCAGGGCACAGATGGGAGGAGCTGGCAGGCCAGGATTCCCTCATTGCCTGAGAGGCCACAGGGAAAAAGGCAGTAACAGTTAGCAAGCAACAACTGCTGTAGCAGACTTCACAGAAAATGCATTTGCCACACTCCATGTCTGCTGTTTACCTCTAACTCATGGAACACATCACCACAAATCATGCCAAAATCCCACCTTTGTATTTGTCATACAGCTTCATTCCCTCTTTGCCCTACCAAAACTCTTCAAAGTGCAAGTTTTCTCCTTTGTAAAATCCACTGTTTGCTGAACACTTGTACCTTTATATCACCCTCCCACAGACCCCTGAGTGAGGCAAACAGAGTCCATGGGACACCAGCCCCTTGTTCACCACGCTCCCAAACATTCCCTCCCTTAACCTGCAAGATTCTCTCTTCCATGCACTTGTTTTCCTGGGACAAATTATCCTGTGAGCACCCCCACAGTGTACCTTCACTCACCTATAACATCAACTCTGTGGAGTTTCACCTTCTGTTGCAGTGTGTCCAGGGCTGCTGAAAGGGAATCTTGGCAAGGTGACATTTTTATGTTCTGTTTCACATCATTAGAAAGGGATAACCACAGCTTCCCAAAGTCTTCTGTAGTCATTTCCATTGGCCTAAAAGGAAGTTCACCAAATTTCTTAGCCAAACAATATTTATAAATCAGAATATCTTTGGTTTCAAAAAACCCCTGTATATGGAAGCAGCTGGACAATAGAGCACAAAACAATTAAATATGTATTAATCTAATCAAACCCCTTCTCTTTACAATTTAACATTTTAAAAATGTTTCTATGCCTTGCTTTAGATTTCTAAATTTGAAAAAAATTAATTTTCAAATTTCACTTAAAAAGAAAAGTCTGTTGGACAAAGGACACTTGTTTTCTCCTACTCCTAAAACAAATGCAGTGTTCAAAAATGAAAAGAATGAACTTTCCTCTTCCTCTGAAAAGTTGTCAACCTTTTCATACAGTGTTCTGGTTTCTGCACTCAAACCACTTGTTTCCTCATGACATGTTTACATTCTGCCATATTTTAAAGCATCATGTCCTTCTGTTCTTTGTTCTGCTAACCTCCTCAAAAACAGTTGCAGTCAATATTCTCCCTGCATTTGTACTTCTTGCTGTCACTTTGCCCCTTTATACAAGTGTAAAACAATCCTTTATTATCTTTACCAGCCATCTCAGATTTGAATTAGCTGCTCAAGGTGAAGCCTTGTATTTTCATAGTCAATACCCAAATCATCCTGCCCTTGTCTAACACTGAGCTGTATACAAGTTTTTTAAAAACTGCAGCTTATTTTATTTACCTGATGAAGTCCATCAATGATAAAGTTACTGAAAATTCAAGGCAAGTTTCCATCTCTGACTGGTAGCTAACAGAGGCAGGAAGAATTGCCTGTGTACAGACTTTGTTCATCCTCACACATTTCTGGCAATGTTCCACACTTTGAGCTTCAATTACAGGAAACTGGGACGTGGCACTCTCCAAAATCTATATAATGTCATAAAAGGAATAAAGAATGTAAGTCTTGCTGTCAAGTTGTGCAAGTGATTCAGATACAGCTATAAAACTGTGTAAGTGCCTCTTATTTCTGCTGATTTTTCTTGGAGTATTTGACAAGTGAACAGAGCCACCATATCTCAGCCCTCATGAAGGATAAATCAATCACTAACACCCACAAACATTCCATGGGATACACAGCAGCAGTGAAATTGATCTCTGACAATTGGCTTGTCCCAGCCCTAAAGCACTGCACCAGGAACCTGAATTCTGCAGCTCAGTCCCAACATAAACTAATATACAAGCAAGCAGCATCACATCAAGCTATACACTGAAAGCAAGAAGTTGAGAAAACATCCCTAATAAAAAGGAGGATTTCTAGATTACTCAGCAGGCCCTGGCTCTGCAAACAAACTGGTAACAGACATTCTATCCATGGTGATGGTCTGGGTGGGAATTTAAGTGAATTATTAGAAAAATCTAGACAAGAGATGCTCACTCTCTATCAATGCCAAGACAAGTTTGATTCAAGTCAGAAATTGAAAGGGACTCCATAACCAATTAGCAGTTCCTTGATTAAGTAAATTCTAAAAGCACCAATCCACTTAATTATTTTTATCCATTTATCACTTGCTGAGTTGTTTAATAATTCTGTGCTTCTTTTAAGCAAAATCTGTGGATAGATCAATCAATTGGCAATTCCTAAATATCCTTCCAAATATTTAAATGAAGTTTTATTTATGACTATAACATGCCTTTACCAATCATATTTAAATCCCTAATGTAGCCAGTGTAAAAAAATAAACTGATCAACTCCTCTGCACCCTCAACTAAATGCATGCGAGTGAACCATGACTGATGTCTTTGGAAAAAGCACTGAAAGAAGCTTACACAAATTTGGTGTCAGGAAAGCATCATGTTTGCCTATCAGGTAAATACAAATGAATGCACAATAGCCACACCCAGACAAAAGAAAGCTACACAGTGAGGTGAACTCAAGTCATATCATTCCAAGCAGGACCAGTGAGGTTTGCATTTGGTTTAATCTTTGCATTCAGAATGGAAAAATCACATATATTCATTACACAGAGGCAAACAAAATCAAGGTGAATTGAAAAAGTGAGAGGTTAACTTTTATAGCCAGTGACAATAAGTTTATAGTGACACTTCTCTCATCTCCTTTTAAAGCTATGTCTAAGAGGTGTACCACAGGTTAAAAGGAAATACTTTGGAAAAAGGCATGGCTACCACATTAAACCAAATATTGCATTGGCAAATGCAAGGAAAAAGCAAGAAGTTCTAAGTGAATTGAAAATACAATGGAAACAAAGTTTCTTACCTGGAAGTGTTCTGTTTCTTCAAACACTAAGTTCACAGCATGAAGTGCAGAAGGGGTTTTATTTGAAACAAAAACAATGAGCAACAGAGAGTCATCTGTCCACACCTTACATAAATGCAGAGCTAAGGCATCACTCTGACAAAGTCCCACCACTTCAGAGTGAGGAAGCTCTTCAAGTTCTTCTGGTAAGGAAGGGACCAATGGTGTTTCACTGGCACTTTCACACTGAGCACTTGAAGAAGGCTGAAAAATTTCAATATTGCTATCAGCAAACAAAGATGACTGTGACAGCCTGTTAGCTGAAATTCTGTCATCCAGCACAGATTTTCTGAGGGACTGAGGTGTTTCAAATGCTAAATTGTCTTCTACAGTATCTGAAGAAGGGGAGGCTTTTCTTAACCTTGTGTGCAGACTTCCCTCAGAGTCTTCCACATTAATAGGTACTGCATCAAGCAAGGGACCAAAATCAGAAGCAGCACTGTTTTGGAAGTCTGATGCCTCCTCACTCAACTGCTGAGTTTCAGTTATCTTTGATTTCCTTTTGAACTTCTGAGTAGCTGTGTCTGCTTTGCCCATCTGAAAAGGAAAGAGAAAAAAAAAATGGGTGGAAAAGTTCCTAGCAACCAGCAGTGGTACTGTCAATACCATGTAGTGAGGAGGTGAGGAAGGACCAAGGAATCAAAACAGATGACAAATACAAAGAGATTCCAAACATTTTAATGGATCCAGGGGCTTGCTGTATCTCTTACAGAGGACTAAATTAGCTTATAATGCAAGAATGGCTCAAGATTCTCTTAACTAACTAAAAGCTCTTATTAAAGACTAATAAAGGTAGTATCTGGTTAACCAGTGCTAAGTGCCAAAATTTGAGCTGGCTAATATGGTCAGCCTTAAAATATTACCTAATAGTGAATTCTTTTATGTTCCACATACTACCATACATAAATTTAAAATGGTCTTGACATAAGCTGTCAAATTCTAGCCTTACATCCAAATGAATGGTGACAGCTCTACAAGGCTGGGTCAAGGAACAGTTGTTCAGGAAATCTAACACTACAGCTTGGAGCACAACATGTAAACAGAGGAAAGTTCCAGTTACCAAATCAGAAAATCAGATCTGCCTCAGAGGTTGCTTCATCAAGCTGTTTCAGGTTTCAATAAAATATTACACTGCAAAAGCCATTCTCAATAGTTTTGCAATTACTTGGGTTGTCTTATCACTAATTTGATCTCCATTTGCATACAAGTATGTATAATTTTCAATAAGACCATATGTAAACTTTAAAGTGTTAAATCTCAAAAGAATCACTCACCAGGCTGACACCAGCACTTGATCCCAGCCCAATGAACAAAGTTGATGCCAACTGCTGCTTCTCTTTGTCCTCCTCAGACAGGCTGGCACCTTGCTCAGGCTGCAGTGCAGGAGCTTCCCCCACCTGCCCTGCTAATAAGCTGCCACAAGGCACTGGTTGTGGCTCATTTTCTTTCCCTGTTTTGTTTTCTTTCTTTGGAAGGTAACCTTCTTTCCCCCACAGCTTGCGTACTCCCTCAAGTTTCAGAGTATTTGTCCTAAAAAGGCAAACAAAACAAAGCAGGATCAGCCACAGGAACATGTTCATAAAAACATGCCAACACTCAAACACCATTCACTACTTTGGTGCTTTGATAGACAAGAGTGAGGAGTAAAATATAAAGACTCTGGAAAGGTTTCCTGCATACCAGTTTAGCAGAATATAACTGAAGTTATTAATTTGTATGAAACTGTGGATATGGAATTAATGTGTAGTGCATTAATAAAAGGAGCATCTTACACTGCAAACCTTAGCCTCACTTCTATCTTTAGAAAAAGACAGAAAAAAAAATAGTAAACAATGTAACCATCAGGCAATCCTGCCCCAATTTTACTGCATTAACTATCACTCAACTGCAGTCTGTGAAGAAAGTGGCAGAAGAGTCTGAAACATCAGCTGTTTTCCTACTTCTTACACAGACATCCCCACTTGATTTTCTTCTTATGTGATAAAGGTTTCCAAGTTCAACTGCACTCTTCCTAGTTCCATGCAAAAAAGCAACAAGGACCCACGATAATGACAAGAACAGAAGCCTAAATGTACTTCACTTCAAACACAAATTAACTCACTCTTTGTGCCCCGTCTCAGCACTATTCCCAGATATATCAGAGCCAAAAGATAAACCAGTGGGGGACTGTCTGCCAGTGACACCAGATGAGGACACACTTGAAGCAAAGGACAATCCATAAGGTTCAAAATTCAGAGCTGCAAGACAGACAATTTTAAAATTACAAGGAGGCATAAAAAAGTAAGAATTAAATCTATTTTCTGAAAATACATATCCCTGTACTGCTGGACTTCTCAGGCCTTCACTTTAATAATCCCCACAAATTTCAAATCCTCTAGATCAGCAAGGATTACAGTAAGACTTTCTCACCTACAGAACAACAATCTATATACATCAGCTAGACAAAGGTGGAACTAAAATCTAAATTGAACTTAGCTCTTGTCTACAGACAAGAGATGCATTGAGATGTCATTATTTTAAGAAGATAAATTAACTGTACACTTTAATTGTTAATACTTCTCAGGTAATTTACCAGTATTAAATAAATGCAGTGAACTGTCACCTTTTTCCTGAGAAAGTTTCTCCTCTTGTCTCTGGTGATGAGGTTTATATGGTGCTGCACCATGAGCAAGTCCCTCAGCCACAAACCCATCCAGAAAAGATAAGGAAGCATCTACCTACACAGAATTTAAAGGAATGAAAAGGCAATGAAAGCATTTGCTCTATGTGAGCCAGATGTTACCAGAAGAATATGGTGTCTTATCAGCAAATCAGGATCTTCATGTCACATGTCCCATATCTACCAGTTAAGATGCTATATAGACAGAATCTTTTCCATCATTTACTGTGGAAATTTTATGGTCAAAATCAGTGGATTTTAAATAGGAGGCAAACCCTTTGAATTCAAAAGCAGTACTGAATCACTAAAGCAGGCCTACGTCATCTTTGAAAAAAACAAAAGACAACTAAAAATAAACCAGTGTATGAAATGATAATTTTGCTAAAAGTTACTCCAGCTTACTTAACTAAAACACCATGGTTCTTTATCTTTCAGTACAGAACACTTTGATTCATCCCATATGCCTGAAGAAGTTTCTGAAAACTCACTTTAAGCAGACCTGCATCCAATGAGAACTGCAAATACCATTCATTTTGGAAACGCCTTTTCACCAAACACCTTTTCCCCATGGATGGTTCATGAAAAAGAACCTGGAATGTGTCTTACCACCAGGTCACTGCAACTAGCATCAAATGGAAGCAAGCTTTTCATCAGTGCTTTGTCTTCACACAGATGCTTCAGTTCAAAGGCATATTGCCTCAGGCATGTATCCAGAGAGCTGCTGAGCTCTTGGATTATTTCATCCACTGTTTTTGAGCAGGAAGTGTGTGATGCTATCTTGGTGACTGCAGCCATTATCCACGCTTTAGTTTCAGAAGTAACAAAAGTCTTCTTCAGCAGGCTGTGCAGCTTTGTCAAAATAACTTCTGGATCAACATCTGTAACAAGACTGAAATATTCTCCCAACACCTATTCACAAAGAAGAGACAAATATGCATTTAGAGCAGTGTTCTCAGTTTTGAGATTGGAATATGGTATTAAAATAATACAATAAATCCACCTCACATTCAAGAAACTATTATTTAAACATGTTCCAAGTTATTTCTTTACCATGTTGTGTTCTGTATGTCAAAGGGTTGAAGTGACCTTTGTGTTCACCTCAACAGACTCCAACATCTGGCTTTTTAAAAATCAAGAAATTGTCTTGAAAAGAAAGCTAAACATAACTAGGCCTTGACAAATCACCACCTCCTAAAACTGCAGCCTCTCCCTTGGGTGGGAGCTGAAGTTTCCCCAGTGTCAATCAGCACAGCACCTGGCCAGCCATCTGCAGGGCTACAAGAGCATTTCACAACCACATCTGGCTAATTTGGATGGAGACAGAAAGGCTCCATGGTGTGCAGTCAGATTCAGGTGGCTGCTAAGCCATCTCTGCATAAAAGGGAGCAAATCAGCTTTTCCACAAACCACAAATTAATAGTCCTCATCCACCAAAGAGGTCACTAAAATAGATTTCAGCATGTTAGCTTGACTTCAAGTAAAAGTGACTGAAAATTAAAGTTGAATAAATATTTATTAAAAACATTATCACCTTTGACAGTTTTCTCAAATCTGTGTTTGGAATTCTGACCTGTGTCTACCTTACCCAGCTCATAACTTGTAGGAATTTCTGTGGATACAATTTATCTTCCTCCTCAAGTAATGCCAAGTAAGACTGTACTGCATACACCCGGAGCTGATGATCTTCTTTTTCATCATCAAATCCTAGAAAACAGCACAGTTTCTGTGAAACACAAATAACATATCCTACCAAATATTTCAAAGTACATTTTAAGAAAAGAAAACAAACCCAGATTATTAAGGAACATGTCTAATTCTTTAGAGCATGTAGGGTGTTACCTTCAGCCAGCAGCCTCAGGAAGTTGTTTGGGATATCAGAATGCACAACATCACCTCCAACTGAGAACACAGCATTCATTGTCTGGATGAACCACTCATTGTTAGGGGCATATGTGTCCAGGTGTTAAGGAATGCAATGCTAAGGCATAACTTTTTCTTTCTTTTTTAGTGTATTTCCACAGGAATGTCTATTGTGATCTCCCCAGTAAGTTGGGGATCTGATGGGCAAATACCAGCTCCATCTAACTAAAGAGGAAATATTCCTGGATCTTTCAGGAAGTGTTTCCTGTAAATGTCATGAAAACTGGTGACCAGTTAGAAAAGTCTGTAGTTACTCTGTTGAAAAAGTTGAGTTCATGCAGGCCTCACACACATTAGGAACAATATGCTCACATTTGTCCTACTCTATTTTAATCTCACACTTGTCCTGTGCTAGGCTTCCACATAATCTTTTGTTTACCCAGAATCACTTGATCAATGATAAGAAACAGTCCTTTTCAGCAGTGCTGTTGATTTATCAACTTTACAAAAACATTTTGAAGCACTCCACATAAATCCTTGCTGGTTTTTTTTAATATATTTAACTTTTGATCAGCCTTTGCTAACTTTGAAAGCTGGCTTTTGCCTTCTGTCAGGCAAGTCCTGAAAACACACAGTTAATAAACGGAAATTTTTAACAGCACAGAAATTTCAGAGTTATTGCATTTGTTTTTGCATACTGCAGGACAACAGAGCTTTTTTTAGTACAGTACTCCATGCCAGGCACTGCACAAACAGGATGATAAGGCAGCTCTCTGTTATTAAAAGCCTACAACTCAAGATATCAGACAAAATCACACACAGAAATCAGGCAGTGGCAGATCTAACAGTAATGCACATAATAAACCAAATCCCTAATCATTACTTTCATCTTTTATGGCATTTTTAAAAAATCTTTTCTTCATTTCTATCAAAGTGTGCTGTTCTTAAAATCCTTACACCAATGAAGAGTTCTATCAGGGAAGATCAGTCCCACAATTACAGAACAGCACTTCAAGTAGCACTGAGACATCTCTCTCTGTGCAGTGGTATAAGGCTTCAAAGTTTGAATTTAAAACACAAGGTTTTAATGCTAAACTCCAAAGCCAAAATTTGTGTGCAATTAGCTTTTCTCAGTGAAACACAAGAAACACTGTAGTCATTATTGTATGTGCTTTCTTTTGCATTTGAAAGGATGGGAAGCACAGCTCTAACACTTCCTACTTCACAAGATCAGGAAAGATGCTTTGATAGGTATCAGTGCTACAGGTGCCTGAGCTCTGACTTCAAAGTTTCAGAAAAATAAAAGGATATTTCTCAGCTAGTTCAGAAAAATAAAAGGATATTTCTCAGCTAGTTCTGCTATTTTGCCAACTAAGCTGATGATGGCATATTCTTCTTGGCTTTCTTTTAAGTAATCAAGCATCTTCTGGACTATGACAATTACATTCTGCCCATTTGTAATCCTGTAGAGAAGCTCTAAAGTCTGAAAGAGAAAGCACAAAGAAATAATTGGTTCTGATGACTCAAAAAAAGAAGCTTTAGTACACCAAATTGAGCAACTATTCTTAAATGAGATACACTGCTTCTCTAGACAGCTTGTCGCATTAACTGTGTTTTTAACTGTTCTCTCACAATTATGGAAACATAACATTTTTACATTGCTCATTTTACAAAATTTATCCCCCACCTTAACAATTACCTAAATTTTTGATATTTAGAAATGCAACTGACCTCCCTTTTAATAATGGGATCTGGATGATCCAGACATTCAATTATTGTCATCTGGTGCTGAAGCGCCAGGTTTGGATCCTGCTGGATAACATAGGTCAGAGCCTTTAACCCTGGAATGAAAGTGATTGCAAGTGACATAAGGCAATGCTACCACTATGGCCAAATCAAAGACTGCATAATGAAATCAGGCATCCTTACCTAAGTATTTCAAATTAATTTTGGGTGACAAAACAAATTTTCCAATGCACTTGGCAGCCTTTTCAAGTAATTCCGATTTGGGATGAATGGTGTAAATTGTTTGGACACATTCAAACAAGATGGCTGCAGGAGGAGAAGACACATAATTAGTGTGTATTGAATACTTCTATAATCCAAAATTTTTAACAATCAAATGAGCTCAGTGTTCCTCAAGGACTGGCAGTGCCATCCCACTCCCACTGAATCTAACCAGAGAGTACCATCTGACATAAGGAAAAGCGGGTAAAAGTCTATCTCCTTTAGTACATACATGTTTTAATTAGCCCCTGCAAACAACTTTCTGTCCTTAAAGTTCTTCCAACCTTGAAGTCTCCTACAGCTGCTCAAGGCACTGGACTGGGACAGTCTTCAGAAAGCCAACAAGCAACTATAAAGGATTTGAGACAAATTATTTTTGGTAACTCATACCATTTCTTAGCTACTACCAACAGTTAAAATCATCCCAAGAACATTCTTGAAAAAAAAAGAACCAATGAAAAATCAAAACAGAAACAAAACCAGAAAAAAACCCAACAGCTTTGTACAGTTGTTTGAGAAAAATCTAGAAATCAACTGAACAATATACAAAAAGTAATGATTCCTTCATGGCAACAATTTGGGCAAAGATTCAGACCAAGTTAGTCTCCCAAGTTAATTAGGGCTTAAAATCATGATGTTCTTGTAATTCAGTGACTAACTGAACTGTCCAACAGACAGCCCCCTCTCTTCCTTAGCCATTACAGACTAAATCTCAGAAAGACTAGCACACAACAAAACTGCCTGTAAGAAACCTGCCATCACCAATAACTTCTCATAAGAAAGAGCAATCACTCAGAATTACATTTTTCTTTTGTCTGGCATTATCAACTACAGTTGTATAAAATGCTTGCCATAGGTGAACAAAAACTACTTCTATGTCCTTGTACAAATTATAATGAGCTGCCCACTTTGTCCCATTAAACAAATTTAATGCTTAACTCTTGGCACGTGCAAATAGCTTGTATTGAAAGTCAGCACAACTCCTAATAACTTGTATGTTCTTGCCTAAAAGAACAAAAGCAATCAGCTGAATACTCTAAACATGTGACAGATTCTTCCTCATTTATTATTTACTAAAAGAGAATACTTCCCCAAAGCTCCCCTTTTTATGCAAGTGAGGCTTACACAATGCTTTACAACATATGTATGATGTAGGTTAGACATCTACATGTTTGAGCCATGTTCCTTTTTTGTTTCACCCCTCACTGTTGTTTTAAGCAAGTCTCAACTTTCTTTCCATTCCATCAGCACAGGGACTTGGGCACATGTGCAGGGCTTTATTTAACAACAAAAAAATTGGGGTGGTATGTTTGTTTTAGTAGTGAAACAGCTTTTAAAGTAGGGTTCTAGAGCATCAGAACAGGGATTTTGGGGAGGTATTCTGACCTGGGGAGGAGAAGACAAAGAAAAAAGACCAATTGCTCAACTTTTTAGCATGAAAAAAGTTACCAGTGCAACTATTCCTTTTGCTTTGTAGCAGCAACAAAACCAGCTTTCTCTACTGAGAAGACAAACAAAGAACTTCTACCACAATGGACCTTCTGCTACGTTCTAGAAATTTTCAATTGAGACATGTGCCAAAGACATCCTTCCACAGGCAGCACAGTCACTGAACTCTGGGGGTGTAATGTTTATTAACTGTGCCCAGAGGGGAAACCCTACACAGCTGCAAAGAACTGACACTGTCCCTGCACACTATTGCCTTTCTCAGGGCAGTAAAGAGAAATCAAAACATTTCTACCACACAGAGATGTATCAGCAGGATTTTCTTTTATTGCTTATTTCAACTTAAGCAATGTCCACTAAAAGCTTTCATGAAGCAGCTGACTCTGTGTAATTAAGGGCAGGGTCAATGCAAACACAGGATAAAGGCTTCTGAGCCAAACAGAATTCCCTGTATATAGATGTGTTTTACTTTAATGATAAAAAATTAATGTTGTACAGCAATGCATCACTTGTGCTACTATTTACTAGTTGGACTCTTGAGAATACAATTAATGTTAAGACTATAATTAGATTTTTCAAAACTACTGTGTAAGTATTTTAGCATAATCAACTACTCATTTCCTATCTTTTCAAATATTGATAATTACATAAAATAACCTTACCCACCATATGTAATATTATGATTAATCTCTGCTCTTCTTAAAGATTCATCTAGAACATCATACATCAATTCACTTGTCCTATTTAAGAAAATATTTACAATTAATTGCACCACTAATAAGCAGGTAGCCTTATTTTGCCAAACAGTTCAGAGCTATTACTGAAACCCGTAACATATTACTCATATCCACAAATTTACTGTAACACAGAAGAGCTCTATAACATGATCCTAAATGGCATTTAACAGGATGCTTGAAGCTTTCAAAATAAACATTTACCATATTATAAGATTAAAAACACTTCCCTTGCTGCTTGCATAAATAAACAGGTCAATAGGGAAAGGATCACAGACAACCAGGTCCTCACAAAAATGGCAGCACTCTTTTAAAATAGCTTTACTCCAGCTCTTCACTGTTATTTGGTAACATTGTAACAGAAGTCCCAGTAAAATTACATTTTAATCATATTCCACAGCAATCAATTGTTTAGACAACCCAGAAGCTAAGAAACTACTTTTGCAGAAATTAATTATTGGTTAAAAACAAACGTGCAAGAATTTTGACACTGAAAGCCTCTTACAGTGTATGAGGTGCAGGCTATTACTTTATCTCAAATTATTACTTACAGAGAAAAATCTGGTTACCTTGGATCATCTTTTCCCAACAGCCCCAAAATTCTTAAAAGCTGAATTTGTAACCATGGTGCTGGCACACTGTGATAGTTGAAGTCAGCAGAGAGCTTTCCTCCCACCACCTGCTTCAGGATGGTCACAAAACTCCCAGTCAAGTCCTTGTATCCAGATGAGTTTTCCTACATAATGAAAATCAAATTCAACTCAAATATTTCAATACAACAACTCAAAAGTAAAAATAATCCACAACTTGAGTAAGATCAAAATACCTGCACTGATGGCATCATTTCTTGAAATCAGACTTCTGCTCTCAACCCTCAGCACCCATATGCTCTTCCCTTTAAGCCTATGCTCTTTTCTCACACATTTGCACAGGGAGCAGGTGTAATACATTTACAAGGAAATTTCCCTTTAACCCACTGTAGGACTCAGATCCACTAGCTAAGGACCCAGCAATGCTGAGCATTCAGACCCTGAAGAAGTGGATTTGCCCAGCTAAACAGAGACCTGGCAGAAACAAATGTAACACATGACTACATAAATTAACTTTTCTAACTACTACAAGTGAGTTTTTTCTGCAAAATCTTTGTAGAACACACTGTGTAATTAAAATAAAAAACATAAAAATATCTCCCAAATTCAATTGTGCTTCTAATTCTTTGCCTACCTTAATCATTTGCAGATAAATATGCAAAGAAGCAGCCATGACTCCAGCATCCCTGTCACACAAAGCCTTCCTGAACTTATCGTGGATGTGCTGAACTTGATTAGGAGCAATGAGATAGAATTTGTATAAAGCTTGAACAGCTTTTCTTCGGATAATTTCCCTGAAATGAGATTTACACTTAACAAAACAAGTGCACTTTAAGTACCTGACTTTACAAAAAAACTTGCCAGACCCCAGATCATGATTTGTAGAGATGAGAACCCTTGTTTTACATGTTGGCAACAAATGACTTTGCAAATACCACCTAAGCAAGGAAGTGACAAAGCCAGCTTTAAAGCCTAGTAAGGATGGATGTCAGATTAATGATTTAAAACAATGCCCACCAAATAAACAAAGAAATAGGCCATGACTCATCTGCTGTGGTCATACATGCAGCTCCAAAAAATACACATCTAGAAGTTACTGAATTAATTCATTCTGCAATTCCCTTTCAAATCAATAATTACAGTATTTTCCTCTCTTTATGGGATATAGTAAACTACAATTCAAACAAACCAAGGGTATCCAGATACACTTTTATCAGTTTCTCTAAAGAGCTTTATTAAAAAAGTGTCAGTGAAGTTCAAGGATCTGGATCTGTTTCCCCTCCTACTCAATAAACACTTCTCTATGCATATTGGTTAAAAGGACTCCAGCAAACAAATTCAATTACATTTACCTATCCACACTGGCTATGAAAAAATTTGCTATCCATTCAATACTCAGTCAAGCTGTAAATAAATGAGACAAGAATCCAATAAAAAACACAAGGTGAGGATTTATTTCTAAAGGTGATGACTCGAAAAGACCAGCTGAGAGAAGAAACACTATACTAAAACTACCTACAAAAATAGGTTATTCAGCTGTATAAGGCTATTTGAAATTCTGTAATGAATACCTACTTAGAATGCTGAAGCTTGTCTTCTATTAGGGGCAGAACAGCTGGAATCATCTCCCGTGGAAAGATCTGGCTGACAACAGTTAATGCCATGCACACCTCCACCAGGTTAGTGCTCTGCAAGTCCTATGACACAAAACACAGTCAATTTTTCATTAGACTCTTAAATTCTTCACAGACATGCCTCAAATCTTTCACAAGAAGGCTGGAACTACCCCCCTAGAGAGGCCACCCACAGCCATTTATAAAGTAAAGTTTATGGCATATCTCCTCTCAAAGAACTTTTAAAATATGGCTTCAAGAGCAAGAACATCAAGATCAAATTAAAAAGGCAGGGAAAGCCATTTCAGCCTGTCTTTGCTAATCAAAATAATAGATTAATTTGATTAATCAATTACTTTGTGACAAAGTAATTGATTAATCAAATTAATCAATTTATGTGTGATAAAATGGGAAGAATTGGTCCAAGTTTTTCACCCCACAGCCCCTCCCACCAAGCTGCAGCCAAAGCTCTCTGTTCAATCCAGTGTTCTTGCCCACTGGCTCATCTGGCACATGGCCTCTCCTGTGCCTGTAGGATTTTCCATTTTCTTTATTTTACAAAACCCCACTATACCTTCACAACTGTGTTCACAAGTAGAAGCAGCAGTTCATGATTTTCATGTAGAAATAGAGAAACTGCCAAGTAACCTAAAAGAAAAGAAACTTGATTACTATTTTCAAGCAATAAGCAACTTTATGACAGAAACTTTAAGACTGTAACACAAGAAGAGTTAACTCAAACAGTTACAAAAACCCAACAAAAAATCCCTGCTAGATAACAGTTGCTCCTGTTTTAAATATTTGTCTGACAGAACCATCTTTACCTAATCTTGCACTACTACTTGGAAAAGATACCAGATCCTGACAGAAATTCATTTTCTGCTTGATGTGTTTAACAAATATTCTCTTAAATTATTTGCTTACTGGTGTCACAATTCAAAACTATGAAGGAACTGATGATTCAAAATAAATTCATTTCCCTGCCTGCTGTGCTGCAAGCACACACAGAGCACCTCACAAGCCAAGGATTTCGATAATTCCAAAAAGTAACAGACCACGAAACAAGGCCAAGAAAATGAGGAACATTTTAAGTAGGTTGTATTTGACATGAACTATAAATCCTGAAAAACTTTAAAAGTGGGGGTTTGAGAACATTATAAAGGCTACAGCTCCATGCACATACCAACTCTCTTCTCCAGAAGGTTCCCTTGCTGGGCAAGTTTGATTGCATGGATGTATCCAAAGGAAGACTCGTAGCCCAGCATTTCACAATAGATGAGTCTCACCATGCATTCTTTCATCAGTCTCTGAAATACCAGAAACAACTTACTGAAAATTTTAAGTCCAACCTGTTTTATGCTCTTCTTCACTGCTCTACTGAAACAGAGAACTTTATCTCATAGAAACAAGTGAATTCACGCATCTTCTAAAATCTCAGTGTTCATAATTTTTTCTTTGCCATGAACTTCTTCTGCAAAGCAGAGTTAAAGTTCTGCTAAAAAAGGCAGAACTCCCCCTATTCTACCCCTAAAAAAGTTCTTATTTTGATTAGTATGCATATAATCAACAGCAGATTAACTACACTGACATAAAAAATACTAATTACGTGAAGCATTATGATGATCACACTTTACTCCCCAATTACTACCCTGACTTGGGATGGTTTCTTACTACAAGAGATAAAATTTCATTTTTCCCTTAAAAAATCCTCACTCATAGGACTGACATATGTATTAACTAATTCAAAGCAGAATACATCATCTCCTGAAACTCAGACATGACAACAGTGCATACAACAAAGCACAGCTTCTTAAAAAGCACAAACTAATTGTAAGAACAATGTCAGCCAGCAAAGAGCATTATTTGATGGAAGCAGCTCATCACCTAATTGCTGTCTGCATTACTTCAGAAACTACAGAATGACAATAGGGTCATATTGTTACAGTTTATTCACATCCATCAGAATCAGTGTTCTCACTGTTTTAACCATGCTGCAAAACCATATGTATTGGTATTTTTTTGGTATTTTTTCATGCTGCTGATTAAATATCTATAATGCAGATAACCTGCACATCCTCCTATGATAAAGAGAACACTCAGTCCTTCACATTCTCCACAGCCTGCAGCCACTAACAGAACTTACAAGTGTTGTGCTGGGGGCTGAAACTGTTGCTTTCAAACTGGTTAGCTCCTGCTGGATTAATTTTTCTTCTTCCTAGAAAAATTAAACTTATTTTAACCTGGCATAGATTTCACAGGCAAAACATGAAAGAAGAACCAGAGGAGACAGGGTCACTCAGCGCTGCCCCACACTCAGGGGGCCGCTCGCCTCCAGCACCGCGGCCGTGCTCGCCCATGCCGGGCCCAGAGCAGCAGAACGCGGCCACCCACACACACGGGGAGTTTATCGGGGTTTTATCGTGGCTGAGGGGAAACGCCGCGCCCGGGGCCCCCAGCCCAGCCCCGCGGCGGCTCCCCGGGGCGGGAAGGGAGAGGAGCCCGGCCCCGCAGCCCGTACGTGCTTGGAGGTGAGCGCCGTGATGCTCCGGATGAGGCTGCCGAGCCGGGAGGAGGCCGATACCCTGCCGGGGCCGCCAGCACCGCCCGGGCCGGCACCCGGATCGTGCTGCCCCAGCAGCCCGGGCAGGGCGCTCAGCGTCCGCTCCACCACGTCGCTCATGCCGGACCCACCGCCCCCGGAAGAGCCGGGCCCGGGCGGCCCCTTCCGGGGCGGTGCGGGGCGGGAGGCGGTGCCGGCCGGGAGAGGAGGGGCGGCGGGGCCAGGAGAGAAGGAGCCGCTCCCCGGGCCCCGCCCGCCGCCCGGCTGGGCCGGGAGGTGGAGCTGGAGCCCCGCGATCGGAGCGGGGCAGCCCCGGCGGCTGCGGCGGGCACGGAGCCTTCGCCCCCGGCGCTGCCCTGAGGGAGGAGGGAGCCCGAGCGCCGGTCTGCCCGCCGGGCTCCCGGTGTCAGCAGCACGGAACAGACACTTCAGCCGGTTCCAATGAGCGGCGTGTGGCAGCTTATCACAGGATCGGTTCGGTTCTGACCTCGGCTTCTCACAGAATCGGTTCTGTTCTGACCCCAGTTTATAACAGAACCAGTTCGGTTCTGACCCCAGCTTATCGCAGGATCGGTTCGGTGACAGAGACCACTGAGTCCACCAAACACCACCATGTCACCTAGACCGTGGCACTGAGCGCTGCATCTAATTTTCCTTAAATCCTTCCAGAGATGGTGACTTCACCACCTCCCCGGACAGTGCATTCCAATATCTAATCACCCTTTTTTGTGAAGAAATTCTTCCAAATGTCCAATCTAAACCTCCCAATTATGAAAAATATTATTCTTAAAGAGTGGGTGAGAACATCAGGAGGTCTGTAATGGCTGAGAGGCTTCCAGAGGGCTGATCTGAGGTGATACCCATAACCCTGGTAGCATTCTGTCCTCTTGGGAAGGTTTTCACTAGGGAACTTGTATTTCAGTCCAAAGGTAGTTTTGAGGGTTCTTTTTCTAGAAAGGATGGGGAAGAAACTAACACGATCCCTTCCAAGCTATGTCTTTCCAATGAAAAGGTATCCCTTTGTCTCCTACATACATCTAGACAGAAAATCATGCTGAATTTCAAAGTTATAAATTGATTTATTATCGGAAAAAGAGAAAAGCCCAACAGGAACAAACTGGGATCACTATTTTTAAAGGTATTAAAAGCGGGCATTTCCTTGAAGCTAACATGAAAGATACGGACTGGTAGTTTTTTAAGTTCACTTTACAAAATGAGTTGGTTAAGAATATTTCAGTTAAGAACTGCTCATGTAAAAACATCACATTACATTGCAGAAGCATGAAAAACTTGTAAGCTTTGCAGACCAAAAATGTACATTTAATAAGCATAGGAAACGCTGCTGGTAAAGTTGATGGAACTTGAATAAATGCTCAAAACGCACTAGCTTTGACTTTTTTATTATTATTATTTTTCATGGTTCTAGAGTCTTGAATCCTTCTCTTTGCCTTAGGTGGTGTATAAATGCTGTGTGTAAAATGATTCGTAGAGCACAAACCCTCAGGCATGTGCAGGGTTAATTGTTGATGATTGCATTGAAATCAAGAGGACTATTCATAGTGCACACATATGTGCAAAATACATGACTTACAGTTAGATGATTACAGATACACCTAATGCCTTGCATAAAGATCACCAGTAATTCTGCCAACATTGTTTTCCCTTTTAAGCACTGTGTTATTTAGTGTATAATTTACATTATATGAGATGAAGTAGAGAAAGCAAATCCACAGAAGTAAGGAATGTCTACCATCTAGGCATAAACTTGGCAAGGTGGCTTGTTGTGCCTTTTTCCTGCTTTCATCTGCCTTCTTTTTCCATCAGTTAGAGGAAAAACTTTGAAGTGTGGTTACAAAACAACTGCAGATGTAACACTGAAAGGCTGCATTTCAGTTATTTCTCTTCGCTTCATAACAACTGCTCTCACCATATCAAGAAATGCTCTAATTGCCATTCCTCTGAGTTCTCCTTGGCATCTGATAGGCAAGTGGTTTTCTTTCTGGCTCATTTCACATCGCTGGAAATAAAGAGTTCCAGAATAGAAAATGAGTTGATTGTGTATGAGCCAAAATAGAACCCAAAATAGAAGAGCTTGTGCTCTTCACCATGTTGTCTCTGCACTGGGCAAGGAATGTGCAGTAGATGATGCAAATGATGCCAAATGAAACAGGCGTAATGGGAAACAAATACAGCGCTCTTACCCAGGCATTTTTCTGTGGGGATTAAACCTACTTTGTCATAATTAGCAGAGACTGTGTATTATCTGTCACATGTCACACAGGCTCACCAGGGCACCACCAAGGAGCAGGGGCACCAGTGTGCCAAAGCAGAGGGGGCAGTGCCAGTGAGCTCTGTGCCCACAGCTGCAGCATGTGGCTGGCAGTGCCCGTGAACAGGGAAAGGATTTGTGTCTGAAACTTTAGTGATGGCAGGTTTTGAATTCTCTTCTCTCCCCACCATCAGTCCCAGCCCTGCTCTGTCCTTCTCATCATTCCTTGTTAGAGAGGCTTGCCAAAACAGGAGACACTTTAGCACCAAGGAAATAAACCGTATGGATCTGGGAAATAATACAGAAAAGATTTCACAGAAATAGAAACAATTATCACATAAACAGAAGGATATCCTGCAAAACAAACACATTTGAACACAATTAGATGTATCATTATACCCAAAAAGCCATATGGGGATATATCATATAAACAGGCATGGTTTTGACCCGCACCTTCTTCATGCTGTTGTCTCTAATTAGAGCTCCTTTTCTGGTCTCAATGCTTGACAGGCACCTTCCTTTCAGCAAGTTAAAAATACTCACTGCTTCTGTATTGTTCAGTGCTTTTGACTGAATGAGAAATGTGTAGAGTCTTAGCAATGGATGCACGTTTAGAAAACGTGGATGCGTTGTGAGAAATGTTTGAGTGGAATGGAAGTAAACACTGGGAAGGGTACCTGGAGACAAAGTCCACGTTTTTGTCACCTTGAGAACATTACACAGGCAATGAACTTGAATTAATTCCAGACTGGGATGGAATATAAAACCACATTGAAGTTAGAATTGATATTTTCATTTTTCTTTATCAGCACTATTCTGTAGTTTTGAGGTTTCTGTTGCTGTACATACCCATCTGCTGAAGATGGCAGGGGAGGAGGTTACTCTATGCTTCCTTGTGGAAGCTGCTTACCTTCTGTGCTTCTAAAATGAGGGAAGTATCTGTTTATTATAATAGTTTTCCTTGTAGGTCACCAAGGAATGTATAAATAAGGCTGTTTTTTTCTTACATGCGACTCTGCTTAAAAGATTTTTATCCAAAATATCCTGTAATTCCTGACTATGGCCCAGCTCCAAGAATTACCAAGCCTGGTAAAAAGTGAGGATTCTGGGGCTATCAGTACATTTCTGGAATTTATTTTCATTGCTCTGGACATGGAAGACTAATTTATAGAAGTGAATCTGATGTAAACTAGAGCATCATTTTACCTAAATTGTATGCAAAGGCTTGACTATAATATAAAGTGGCTGCTACGGGGAAAAAATTGCAATTCTTTTTAGTCCTTGTGGTTAAATTAATTATCGTTCTTTTTTGTGTGTTCTTCACAGTTTATGCTATAGTACTGTATACATATCCATTGATAAAGGAATGAACAGTTCAGCTTCGTTCCTGCTTTTCATTTGTGAAAGCACTGGTCCTTTTCATCTCTTCAAATAAGAGTTTTTAGCCTTTTTTAGCAGTCAGCAAGAACTGACAATTCTAATGTTTAAGTATTTCTGTCTGCTCCCTAAATGTGTGTATTTGTGACTACAGGATGATGAGCTCTTTTCTGAAGAAAGAACACTGTGATTTATTTTGGAAGCAGCTTCTGTAGTTCTGAAAAGCGCTAGCGCTGCAACCCTTTGTTCTGCCGCGAACTGCTGAAAATGTCTTCCTCCGATCCCTGGGGATTTGTTGCTGTTCTACGCCTACAAGGGCTAAATTTTAATATCAATAACGCTCAGAAATAGCTTACATGCTTATTGTCATTTGTGCTTTTTTACATCCTAAATTTTAAAGAGCAAGATGTGATATAATTAAACTCTCCACGTCCTCTCTTTGTCGTAAGAGTCACTGCAGTGTAATTCAGCCCGTGGAGAGGCTCTGAGCAGATGACAGGCAGTGATTCACAGGCCGCCTGTGCAGGACCGGCTTTACACTCGCTGTCAGCCCGGCTGTGAACGCGGCCCCCGTGGGTGCTGTCAGGGCCCGGTGGGTGTCGCCACGGCCCGGTGGGTGCCGCCAGGGCCCGGTGAGTGCCGTCAGGGCCCGGCGCGTGTTGCCACGGCCCGGTGGCTGCCGTAAGGACCGGTGGGTGCCGCCCGGGCCGGGTGGGTGCCGCCAGAGCCGGTGGGTGCCGCCAGTGCCCGGTGCGTGTTGCCACGGCCCGGTGGGTGCTGTCAGGGACCGGTGGGTGCCCCCAGGACCGTTCCGGAGCCGCCGCCGCCGCTGCCCGGGCCGCGGAGCGACGGCCCCGCGCATGCTCCGGGCCCGGCCCACCCCCCGCTCCTCCCCGCGCCCGGGGCCGCCGCCGGGGCCGGGCTCGACCATTTCTGCGGGCGCGGGTTCGAGGGGCCGAGCCCCGGGCAGCGGCTTCCCCGAGCTTCAGCACCGCGGGCCGGACAGCGCCCTGCGGGCCGGGCGGCTCCCGGTGCGAGGCAGGCCCCGGCCGCACCATGTTCCCCGGGCTGGCGGTCGCGCTGCAGGTGCTGGCCCTGCTGGCGAGCCGCGGGCACGGCTTCCCCAGACCCGCGGGCACAGGTAAGCGCCCGCCCCGAGCCTTCCGCCCTCTGCCGCGGGTGGGGAAACTTCTGCGGGATGGAGATACAGGATGGTCAAACTTTCCTGCCGCTTGGCTAAAAGCAGTGAGATCCTAAGGCGGCAATATTCCCGGTGCAAGACACCGATCACTGAAGCTGCAATCTAATATTAAAGTGAAGGGATAGGTTTTGGTACAGGGAAAAGCTCCGAATTTTTTCCGTCTTTTCCAAGCAATGTTTTTATCCATTCTGCATCACTGTCGGCACAAGTCTTTGCTTCTCCCAGTCTCCCGCCGTATTCTGGATGGAGGAGATTTTTAATCTCTTGCTTGTGCCAATCCGATTATTGCTATTTTAGTCAATCTCCTCCAGCACTTTTTTCCCCAATTTGTGAGTTTTCTGATCAGAAGGAGGTTGCTGAGTCTATATCTGTATTTCTGTCTTCTGCAGAACCTCTCTCTCTGCCCCAGTCATGCTTTGTTTAAAGGTTTGACTTTTTTTATTGTGTTCCCATTTTTCTCAGAACACTGGATTTTTTTGGTTTTTTGCAAGGAAAAAAAATAAAGGATACAGTTGGCATCCTATTTAAGACACCATGTTGTACTGGAGAAAACTATAAATTAAAGAAAAATGTCCTGTCTCTTTGTAGTTGCATGTATCATATAACTGAGGGTGTATATATATATGTATGTGTGTGTGTTTATTCTAGATAAAGCTATACACAACAGACAATTAAGTGTAGAAAGACCTTTGGAAGAACAGGTAAGTGAAATAATAATTATTTACAATGGGGTTTTTTTGTGGAATTCTTATAAATATTTTTAGCCTTTCATGTACTGGATCCATGAATATCACGAATGGCTAATGAATGGGTAAAAAAGAGATTTGTCAGTAAAGTGATTATTGATGGGGTTAGATACAAAATAGGGTTTCAGTAATTTTTAAGAACTGGCAAATAGACTTTCACTGTCCAGCATTCTGAAAGCAGGTTGTTAGCTCCAACAGCTCACAGATATGCCATGCCTTTCTATTGATATCCTATGGGAATATAGCATGAGCTTGGAATGAAGAAGGAAAATGTAACTTGCATTTATCTTAAAATGCAGCTTCTCATAAGGTCTTGTTCTGATCAGAGGATGGGTGGTACTGATGAAAGTCTCCTGTGCTTATTCCTGTTCTACTTATTTGGGCAAACTTCTTACTAAGAGTGAAAATCAGGCATTAAGCCCTCTGCTAATACTGATAAATCAAGAGATCACACATTTTATTCCTTCTACCTGTTTGCTATTTTATTTGCTTTATTTTTGTATATTAGATTGCTGAAGCTGAGGCAGACAAGAACAGGAAAATAGCTCCCACAGGTAAAATATCTTTCCTGGTTTTATAACAATATTCATAACGGTGTTCCAAGAGGTGTAAGATTTTATGTTATGTTGATATTGATATATTTTCCAGAAAACAAGCCAGAGTTCAGGAATTATTCCTTTGTTGATGACCTGAACCTGCTCAAATCAGTAGCAGAAAGAGAAAGGAATGAGAAGGAGAGGGAGTCAATTAGGAGCTCTTTGTATGAACAGCAAGTGGCCCTTGATGATGCAGACTCCACCAAGAACCGCAGGCTTGTGGATGACTTTGACTCCACTAAAAGCGGGCTGGATTATAAATTCCAAGGTATTCCATAATCTTTCAGTGACTTCTAGGTTAGATTTCTCTTGCAAACTGATTGCTTTCATGAATGTTGCATTCACCACTGAACATGAGCTCTGTTTGTTGCTGGAGTGCAGTTTCAATTATTTCCAGTTGCTTGTTGTATTACAGTTAGGTTATTGAAACACAGTACAAAAGAATTGCTCTTGATTTTAACAGACTTCCGTGGAGGAAAGTCTAATTGTGTAATTTGTAATGTCTTTCAGCAATTTCAATTTGATGGAAGGAAAATGGGACATATTTTTGGATGAAAATACATTTATTCTGGTTTGTGAGGAAGAAGCACTTCTATATGCAGCTAAATCGCGTATATTTATTCCAAATATTATGTGCAGTTGTAGATAATTCTCATAATCACAAACCTAGAAGAAATTACCAAAGGCCAAAGAATACTTGCCTTTGCTACAGGAGTAGTTAATTGACTTGTAGTTTAAGTGAGTCTTCTGAGAATTGTAAGCAGCATTTAGCTCAGGATATTTTTAATTATATCAAAGTATGCTGATCACAGACCAAAGCTCACTCATTGTATTCCCTCTCCCATTGCCACGATGATATTATTTTCCATAGGTAGAAATTACATCATTAAAAGTTAATTTGCTGAAATTCAAACAAGATTATGTGCCATTGTCATGAACTGTTTTGATCTAAGTGGCCATGCAATGAAAGTAGATACTAGGAAGACACAAATAAGTGGATATGGAAATTCTACCAATATTTTCTCTAAACAGGAAAGTAAGCTCCAAAAGTTCATCTCTGCTCTTTCAGAAGAGCCACTCAGAATGATATTTTTCAGATGTGGAAAATTGACACAAAGAATTTTTCCCTGTGACTGATTTAATGGCTTACAAAGTGTGTATCAAAGTATATTCCTAATGTATCAAAAATGCATTTTTGTTCTGAAGAGAAAGAGATGTGGGCAGATATTTTTTTATGAGATGTTTAATCCAAACGAGTAAGGACGGTCAGCACACAGTAAAACTGTAATCCTTTCAGATGACCCAGATGGCCTCCATCAATTAGATGGCACTCCTTTAACTGCTGAAGACATTGTTCAAAAAATTGCTGCAAGAATTTATGAGGAAAATGACAGAGGAGTGTTTGACAAGATTGTTTCAAAGCTTCTAAATCTGGGGCTAGTAAGTATCTTGGTAATCATCATTTAACTGTGCTTTGGATTGGATTAATGCTCTTTCTAAAAACAATTCAGATGCACACTTTGTCTGAAGCGAGTGGGACTCAGGGTCTAAGCAAATTTCTAGAGCTATTTGGGCTTTCTGGTTGAGTTCTGCAGTAACATTGTTGTTCCTGTGATGTCTTTGCAACAAAATAGGCCAAACTGCAGAATGTTTCTGATGTTGAAAAACATTCACTGATTGTACTCCTCCCATCTCTGCCCTCATTTTTCCTTTAATTTGTCTTCTGATTTTCACTGAGTGCTTTTCTATTATTAATTTATTTTCTGTACTTAAGGGGGAAAGGTCTGAGCTCATTCCTATCCACCTAATGCTGATTAGCATCATCAGCACAAACATAATGTTGCTGGCTACTTGAGGATATTTTACATTACTGATTTTTAGGAAGAGTGGATTTGTCTCTGACCCCTGAATGTCTCAATGGCTTTAGCCATTGCCATTTGGGATCTTTATATTTTAAAATACTCACCTTATCTTTTGAGCACTAGATTTTGCAGCTGAGTATTGCACCCCCCTGATTACAGAGGGGGCTATGGGACAGCTGCATGGGAGACTTCTTGTTCAAGTGACAGCTGTTATGAAGCAAAGAGAAAACATTTTAATGATATCATAGAAAGCTGTTTGCTTTTCCCCCATTCTGTATTACTGAATTCTGTTGTAATTATTCAACTGCCCAAAGATGTGTTGCAGAGCTTATGTATTTCTATATACACACACATGGACGCACAAACAGGGATGTGCCACACTTGCAGCTCCATCTTTCAAGCTGCAGTCCGCTGTGTTAAGTCCTAAAGAGGTTTGGTTTGAAGGCTGTATGTGTGAATGGGTGGGATTTATGTGTATACACAGATGAGATGTGTATTTCTATGTATATAGATATATAGGAGTGTTATAAATGTTCACATTTACATGTCTGTATGTACACACAGGTATTGCACCTAATTTGGCTGTGCTCAGCTTTGAAGTAAGCATACAGCAACCTATTTTCATATTGATATCAGGTTTCATATTGATGTTTGATCTAGAAAAAGCACAGTATCTTATAAAGTACTCTGCACAAATATTTTAACAGATCACAGAGAGTCAGGCCTATACCCTGGAAGATGAAGTGGCAGAGGTTTTACAACAGCTGATTGCAAATGAAGCAAAGGATCGTGAGAAGGAATCTGAAGATTTTGATTACCCTGCTAGCAGAGCAGATATTGATACAAAAGAAAAGCAACAGGAAAGAATGGTAATTTCTGAGCTAATAATTTTGTCTTGCTTGCCAAATGGTACTAGTACTGTGCTCTTTAGGGAATGGTTAGTTCAATCTGGAAACAAGAGGTGTTCTTAAAGAAATTCTGTCTGATAGAAAAAAGAATCATGGGTTAAAAATTTGAGATGTCAATTGAAATAACTGAGAAAATACTGTAGTCTTCACTTTGCAATTAGAACAATGTTGGCATGAGGTTGTGATAGAAATTTTTGCTCTCTTAACTCTATCATCAAAAGCAATGTGCTTAAAGATTTATTTTTTTTAATTATGTCTTATGTGGAGACACCAAGCAAATCTGATCAGGATAGTTTCATTAATGGAGATGTTGATGATACACTGGATAACACGTGGTCATCATCTAATGTGTTGGAAAGAAGAAATGAGCTGCCTTCTGAAGATAATTTTGAAGACCTCCAATATTTTCCAAATTTTTATGCACTATTAAAAAGTCTTAACTCAGGTAAGCTATTCGTGTGGTTACAGAAATATTAGGAAAAAACTTTAAAAATTAAGATTCTTTGTTTCCTCCTTCTCTTGTCTCTTCCCCCACAGCTTCCCTAGTTGCTTTGAAAATGTTCTGTAAGATACATAGCAGAAACTAATTTGATTAGTGATTTTGATGGCAAAACACTGGCAGGAACAACACTCAGAACTGCAAAGAGTGTGACCTAGACGGCCCTTTCCATCTTGTGTGATTCAGGAGCCCTGAATTCTTTTAATTCCTGTAAGGATATGATGAAAACCTGGCAAGTAGTTTTCCCCAGAGATCTTTCCAGTAACATCCATGTCTTCTAAGCCAAGAGATCCGAGTAAGCCACAGTAGGATCCTCACAGTGATGGTACCAGTAAATGAGTGTGAGCCTCCCAGCCTTTCCACAAACCACAGGTTTGCTGTTTATTGCAGTGAAAGCCCTGCAGTCTCTTCCTATTCCGGTGCTGGACACCACAGCTTCCAGTTATTGCAGGCTAGTCTGTGGCTCCTTGCCACTGCCCTGTGTCATCACTCTCTACACACACCCACTCTCTGCAGCCACACACACTCTCTTACTTTTGTAGTACTGGGGGGTGGTATTTTCTAGATCCTTTGTCCTGCAGGAGCATTAATAATTGCTTCAAATTGTCCCCATGTGCACCTGAGTGGAGAGCTAAAATGAAAAACCTGAGGGTATATTTTGCTCAAGTCCAATCGACAAACTTTAAATTCTTCTTCCTGTTCTTTTTAATTTTCCCATGGCAATTCTGTATGCTAGTTCTTCTCCTTTTTCTGCTCACAATGCAGGCAGGCATGTTGGGTTTAACAGGTTATGAAGCAAACAGAGCCAGGTCCACTGGCTGCACATGTCCTGCTTTATGTGTTCAGCTGTCAGGTTGTATCGAGCTGGAGGAGAGGATTCAGTTGCAGCCTACAGCTGTGTGTTAAATTGCAGGCAGCAATAAAAAGCCTGTTCAGCAGCTCTCCAGAGTGGCTGGCCCTCTGCCAAGGTTGGGAGTGTGTTTCTGACTGTCCCTGACTGACAGTGCCCCTGGCTCTGCTGGGTCCCTCAGGGACAGCCTGGGCAGTGGGGAAAGCCTGTGTGACTGGGATGGGGGAGTTTCACACTGCTAATGCAGAAATAGCAGTAATATTGCTCAGCACGTAAACACAGTGGGAAAAGAAAAGCTAAGAAGAAGTGGGCAAAACCTGATTATTTGTATAAAAATTTTTTTTGTATCCTATCCTGAAGTCATGATTCTCCCAGCCAGGTAATGCTTTGTTGTCCCAGTATGCAAGTCATGAATTTGTCCAGGTAACAATCTCATTTGAGACACTTTATATTTTTGTCATTGAACCCGTAGATCTTGTAGGAGAAAAGATCTCTTCCATACAGAGCCAGACTGATCTACTAAATACTTCACAAACAAATAAAAGAAAAATGACATACTGTAGAAAACTCTACCTATATCTGCCCTCTGACCATCAATCTGAGCTGTCAGATCACTCCATCTTTGTGTGCTTAGTGTGCTTAGCTGTAAAATGGAATTAATACCATTGGCCTTCCAAGACAATGGTATCATTACACAGCCCCCCAAGACAAAAAGCTATGAAGAAGAACCTACCCCTGATGTTTTAAAGTATGTGCTTTGCAGAGACAGCTTAAAAAGAAACATATATGTAAGTTCTCATTCTAATCCAGCACAGCATTTTCTCTTTTAATGAGTAGGTCATTCTTGATGCATGAATTTTGCACAGTTTGCACAACAATTTTTCCGAGTTACCTGAAGGTTGACTAGTTTTGCTTCATCTCCTCACACAGAGTCAGAGACAAAAGAGAAAGAGACCTTGATAACTATCATGAAAACCCTGATTGATTTTGTGAAGATGATGGTAAAATATGGAACAATCACACCAGAAGAAGGAGTTTCCTATCTTGGTGAGAGTACATACTTTATACTACTGTTACTAATGGTGTGTTCCTCCTCTACCAGCAGTGATAATTACCTTCTCATCTTCCTTGCTCTTATGCAACCTGTTTCAGATTTGTTCATTGAAAATGCTAAAGCTTTTAAATGATTGATCATTCCCTACAGCAATGTTCAATTCCATACTGCTTTAATATTTCCGTCTAATGAAGGAAAGGTAATATAATATATCAGATATGCATTTAGAGTATTATTACACTTTTGTATCTGTGAAGCACAATTTATTTCAATGACTTTATGTCAGGGGAATATTTGGGTCTTCTCTGGTCTATTAAAGTGGATTAGGTACCTGCATTTCCCAGAAATAATCCAGCACTTCAACTCCTTCAACTCCTTTAATCTCTCACTGTAGGTAGCTGGATTAGATGGGACCTAATGCTAAGTTTGTCCACCAAATAAAATTCCTTTCATCTATGAAGAGTGTTACATGTTGGCACAGGAGCAGATTTTGAAGCACTCTTTCCGGGATCCATTTTAGAGTGGATTTGGCTGTGTAGGGTTTGTAAAATTGTTACCATTTCTTGAAGAGGGAATTTTAAATGGCCCGGTTTGTGTCTCACACATATTTCCTGGCTTTGACAAACTCTCTTCTATTCACAGTAGGCAGCCTGTCTAGTTAAACAAGCTGACCTACAGAAGAAGGGCTCATCTGTAGAAACTCTGCAAAACTCTTTCATTTTTCTGAATTATTTCTGGTCTGGATTAGTCTAAAAAGTTTTTGTTTGTATCAGGGAAATTTCTCAGCTTCATAAATCAGCCTGCCACAGAGAGATGACTGGCAATGGTTTTTCTACATTGCAGATACGTGATTGATGAAATTGTAACTGTATGGATTGATTATCCATTACTTGCCTACAAAAGATCCAGTGAATCATGACTCACATTCAGTGCATGATTGTACTTCCTTTCTAAAGAATTCATGATATATCTGACCCAGAAATCTCCTTGAATTTTGGAATATTTGGACAAGTTATGCCTCAGTCCATCTCTCTATTTCTCTGTCTGCCAGCACATCTAAAGAAAGATGCACATAAAGAAATGGTTGATTTTAAGCACGGTGGTTTCAGTGTCATTCTAGAAATGAAGATACTATGGCTTGATCAGATATTGCCAAAACTTAATAGGCTAAATTCATCCCTGATGCAAGACCATGCAGATAATGGAATTACACTAGGAGTGCATTTTTCCTACTAAAATTCAGGGCAATTGCTCACATTGACTTTCCTTTGAGCAAATAGATACTGTAACCCTGGAAACAAATTGCCTTGATGACATAGTACAGAAGGCAAGGATTGGGTTAAGAGTTTGAGAGGTCTGATTTAGTCTGGATTTAAAGTAAGACTATCAATGATGTATCCAGAATCTGCCTTGAAAATGAGTGATTTATGCAGAGATGGATTTTGTGCTCCATCAAAGCACCTTACTGTAGTGGAAAAAGCTTTCTCATAGATTCTCAGGTTGCTTCTGTGGTATTCTTTTTTTAGACTAGCTGTTGAGAAATTGCTTTAAAGCTGACCTTCATTTATTGAGCTAATACTCTCAAATAATGAGGAAGAGCTTCCACAGGAGCATGTTAGCTTCTTGCACTGTCCTTAAGCAGGAAGCAGTTTTATTGCCACTCTTACTGAATTAAAATTCTATAGTCTGTAATAGCTGGATAGGTTCTGTGTATCTTGGTGCAGTTTGGATTAGGAGATTGATACACAGCTGTGGTTATTTATAGCAGATAAAGGAATTAGTATGAATACCTGTCAGAGAGAAGACTCAGTGTAAAAAATTGGCAGCTTTTTGTTGTTTCCTCAGTGTACAATCAGTGAGCAGATTCTGTGCTACTTGGTGGAAAATACCTACCGGGTCTGTGCAGATGGATTACATCCTCTCTCCATTTTATTACAGTAGGAAACTGCCTAAATTAATTTTCCCCACTCTGTGACTGAAGCCATGCGTAAGCTAAGCCTCTGAATTATACATTCAAAATGATAAATCATTTACTGAATCAAGTCACAAGGTGCAGCTTTTTTGCCTGTCACAGGGGTGCAGAGACAGTGAATTCGAATGCATATACCAGTAACAGCTGGCTTGGGATTTGGAAACCACAGCACTATGTCATCATCATTGTATATTACTCTAGGGGAAAGTATTTTGCTACAGCAGTGACTGATGTTATTTGGTTTAGCTTTAAGTTACAAAGGATCTAGCTGCAGTGTGGTGCAAGAAAAATACAGATGCACTTACATGGAAAAAAGGAATAAGTTTATTTTTTTAAGACATATATTCACTATTATGTAATACATATTTAAATGTTTCCATATGCTAAATGTAATCTGTAACAGAATACAGAAAGCCCAGATTGGCATATTCATATGTATGAATCAGGAGAAAAAGTAATGCCTACCTTTTACAGTATGTGTTCAGAAAGTACAGCTCTGGAAGCATTAAAGAGAGCCTGCAACAAACTGATAGAAAATGTGTATTCAGCTGAGGTGCGCCTTATTTGATAATTATCCTGCTGTGGCAAAATGCCACCATTTTCTATCCCTCTTTATTTTCTTAGCTATGAATGCTGTTAGAGAAAGCAAATTCTTCTGATACAAACTCTATTTATAGTAATTATGTAAACTATAGTTTTGTAATAGATTTATTTTAATAATATAGCTTAGAAAAAGGAACAAATGGTTTCAGCCAGTTTGTTCAGATACTGTTGTAAATCATCTCCCACTAATAAGACCAAAATAATGAGTGATTTTTAGAACCATTCTAGGAAATATTTGCAATTAGAGGCTTGGGGCCATAAAAATACAGCTTTCAGACATGATAGACAAATTCTTAAGAGACAACAGTGTATACACATGAATCCTTTTTACACAGTAGATTAATTATATTCTCCTGCTGCGTGCTGCTTACAAGAGTAGATTTGTAGCAAATGTATTCATTGCCACCTCAACCAAGTGAAAAATATGTTACTCAATAAGCTATTACTCTAAAAATGCAGATTGGTTATGTGCACATTGTAGCCTTGTATGGAGTTCTCATTTATTGAATAGCACATGAAGCACAAACTTTTGCCATCACTACTTCTCTAGGTCACAGACACATGTGTGAGATAGAGAAATACTGTGTCTTCCACAACTGGAGAAAAGAAAGGGGCAAAGGACTGGGAAGAAAATTAAGAACTCTGTAGCTTTGCTCTATTTGAAGGGCATCCCACTTTTTACCTCCTTGTGGTAAAGTATTTAGACTACTGGAACCACAGTGTAGAACACACAGCCCACAGCAGAGTGATTGAGGGGCAACCCCCCTTTTATTTAGGAGGCAAACAGAGAAATCATTCCAGTGTTTGAGTCCCAGCTGCCTTCTTCCCTAGCCGAAACCAAGGCCACCCCTCACACCTCTCCCTTTGGCTCTGACTCACTGTCCCCCGTGACTGAGTAGGAGACTGTGTGTGTTAGAAATGGGCATGAACAGATGTCTCTGTTTACCTTTTCCACCCTCACATCATTTGTTCTTCATGGACAGCAGGGAGAGGACCAGGCTGCAGGACACAGGAGCCCTGGGAGATGGATTGTTCATGGGGAGGAGTACGGGCACTCGTTAGTCTGGTCCTTTCCTAAAGAACTGCTGGGATATTGTTTCACTGTTTCACTGTAATACTGTCTTTTAGGCAGACTGAGGCTGTGTGAAAGGGAAGGAGAAGAGGCAAAAAGTCTCCCATGTTGATTTTTTGACGTGTCCCTGCCCCTCCACACTAAGGAATATGAAATAGCTGTTGAGCCTTTCGCATTCATTCTTGGTACCTCCCACAGCTCCACTTCTGATGGAGGCAGAGCTCTGTGATTTCCCCATTGTGTGCCAGTGCACAGTAGCCACAATCTGGCCTTTTCCTGGGAGAGGAGAACTTGTGTGAATAATGTGACTAATGCCTGACATTCTCATCAGCACAGATGCTGCAGGCCAAAGATCTGATCCTGATATTTGTTTAGCTAGCCAAGAGCAGGCAGAGAGCCAAGAGTGTGAGGCAAAGTGCAGATCACAGCCCACTCTGGCATCATCTTTCCTCTCCTCGCTGTGGCCATAAGCTGATGCTCCCTGATGCAGACTGTGATTTCAGAGGGTGAGGGAAGGTCTGGCTAAAGCAGAGCCAGAGGCTACAAGTGGGATATGGACAGTGTCATGTGGACCTTTTGTTTATTTTGACCTGGGCCATGAAGGGCACTGACAGTATTTCATGTAGGGAACCATTTATGCATAATACCATCTTTTTCTTTTTAAAAATCCTTTTTCCCAAAGGTCTCTTTGTTGCTACTGCAAATTTTCTTCATAAACATTAAATTATTTAATAAATTTTTCCCTACCTTAATTTGCCTTTTAGTGATTTTCTTTACCCAGTATTTATCATGTGAGTGATGCATACAGCTGCCAGTGGGAGTAATTTAATTTCAGGCAGCTCTTTTCTCTGCTGTTTATTTTTTATCTGATGAACTAAAGTCACACAGATGCCAGTCTACTGTACTATATCTGAAAAGCAGAAATCAGAGACACCTCAGATGCAAAAGTGAGCTGAATACTGAGGAGCAGCAGTGATTCTGTAAAGTACATGCAAATAGTTAAACCTAAGATAAATGTGCGTGGAGATAAGATAAAATGATGTGGGGACAGAGAGTGTGCAAAGATCCCAGGCAAGACTGGAATCTAGGAAGTATATTGATTGCATATCTCACTGCCCCTTTATAGCTGTCCTTTCTGTAACCTCCTCCATGTCTGTCCCCTGCTACTTCTGCATTTAAATAAACACATTAATGTGGTTTTTTCTCCACTACTTAGATCTTACCTCCTATTTCCCCCCATTCAGACTCACTGCATAATAAAACAAATGGGTGGCTATGGTGTGGAAAGTCTGTGACCTCACAGTTCTCAAGACCAGGACCACTACACAATACAGGAAACTGAGCAT